GGGGCGCTGCTGCTGCTGCTGCTGCTGCTGCAGGAATGGGAGCAGCTCCTCCAAGTTCAGTTGGACGCCCCAAGGCTGGAGGCTCAGCAGTCCTTGGCAGTACAGCGGGCTTACGCAAGCTCTCTTCTTTTTCCCGTCTTTCTTTCTCATCAAGTTCTATCATTCGCAGCCTCTGCTTTTCAGCAATCTCATCTAGCTTGGCTTGGTGCTCAGCTTCCTCTTTCTTCCGTCTCTCTGCCTCTGCAATATTTTCAGAAAGTTCATAGGATGCCAAATTAATTTCGAGTAGCTATTGAAACCTCAAGTGCAAAAATACAACTTAGAGGAATACAACGGTTGACTACTGTACTGCAGTCATAAGAGAGTTGTAGATGTCATGTCACACCAACAGAACCATGAACTCTTAGGTTGGATACACCTCGACAACTGCTTACCTTCCTTGCTTAACCTAAAAGATTTAAATGCATATGATGTGGGTGGGGCATTAACTAGTAAAGTACCTTCACGTTTGCGGGCTTCCTCCTCTTCCTGTAACCTCTTTTTACGCTCCTCCTCAGTTCGCAGAAAGAATAACATTTTCCTCCTAGCTTCCCTCTCCTGCTTCCTTGATTGAATTATCTGGCTGATCCTTTCTCGTCTCTCCTGCTTCAATCTAGTGAATTCAGCTTCCCGGCTACTAACAACTCTTTCTTGCAAAATCCTCTGCATGATTGGAAATATATCAGCCGATCTGTTTTATCAAGAGACCAAGACCAATCTTCAACCAAGCTCATGGATGCTCAAATTTCAACTAGTGGGAAAGTAACTATTTGTATTTCTTACGTTAGGTCTACCTTCCTAAAAAATGCAAGGATATACCGGATACAATTATGATGAACTGCTGCAAAGGATTTTGAACTTCCTTCTTTTTCTTTTAGTACAAGGACATTATACAAAAACTTAGACAGAAGGCAGAATAAAAGAAAAACCAACTATTTCTATTTCCAAACAGCTCAAATCTTGAAGTACCCTGCACTAAGTTCAGAAGCTTCCAACTTGGTCCTACACCAATTCCATTTAGACCAAACAAAGTTGCATAGTTATCAATAGCTAACCCAATTCCACAACCATAAATTCACTTATATTATTCATCGCTTATATCTAGCAGTTCATAAATTCATAAAAGACAGGATATAAAGTGACCTTGTTCTCCAACATGCGTCCCAGTCTCTTTTTCTCTTCCAAGTCTCCAGCATGGCGTTGCCTGCTCAGGTCAACCTCTTGCTGAAAACGTACGTTACAATGCAAATTCGTCAGCAATATTTCGACCAAAAAGTAAGAAAGAAAAAAAAATATAATGTATCAAATTTCCATTTCTTAAGAGAAGTGAAAATTATTATTGTGGTTTGGTCAAAAAGCATGATGTATCTTTAATGCAAACCTGCTGCTCGCGTTCATGAAGAGCTGCCTCTTCAGCTAAACGCTGTTTATATGCAGCTTCAATAAGAGGTGCAGCTTCTTCTCTTTTAGCTCTTTCCAAATGATCCATAGTTTTGGCATACTTCTGCAACTTTTTCTCCCTTTCTTGCCTCTCCCTCAGTTGCTCATTCAGCGCCAATTCCATGATCACTTGTTTAGTCATCTTTTCCTGAAATCAAATTAAAGCCAGGTAAGATTTCCCAATTGAAGG